ATGATGTGTGTATTGACTAATGTAATGTGTACTAATTCAACTTAAGTTACTTGATGATGTGTGTGTTGACTAATGTAATGTGTACTAATTCAACTTAAGTTACTTTGTAATGTGTAGTTGACTAAAGTAATGTGTACTAATTCAACTTACATTACTTTATGATGTGTGTGTTGACTAATATAATGTGAACTAATTCAACTTACATTACTCTATGATGTGTGTGTTGACTAATGTAATGTGTACTAATTCAACTTACATTACTCTATGATGTGTGTGTTGACTAATGTAATGTGTACTAATTCAACTTACATTACTTTATGATGTGTGTGTTGACTAATGTAATGTGTACTAATTCAACTTACATTACTCTATGATGTGTGTGTTGACTAATGTAATGTGTACTAATTCAACTTAAGTTACTTTATGATGTGTGTGTTGACTAATGTAATGTGTACTAATTCAACTTACATTACTCTATGATGTGTGTGTTGACTAATGTAATGTGTACTAATTCAACTTTAGTTATTATACTGAATTAAGTAGTGAATATTTTTTTCTTCTGATATTTGGGAGTATTGTTACCAAATTATTTGATAAAAGGTGCATATGATTTTGTAAATAAACTGAAATAGCTTGTAATACAAAAAATGGTGTATTCTATTGCTTAACTTGTCTACTATGTTTTGCATGATTGTTTTTGCCATCTCATGACACACTTGGAAACATGTTTAAATGTAGAAAGAATTGTTACTATTATGACTTTTAGTAGATAAAACACCACCACTAGTATTACTGTTGGACATGTAAAAAGAAATAATCTTTAATATGCAGATTCAGTTGAACTTGTCAAAAAGCTATCTGTAACTTAATATTCTCAATGTCATATATTCATTTAAAAATCCACATTAGTATGATTGAATGAAAACATGCTACCAGTTGATGATATTGTGGTAGTATCTTGATATTATCAATGCTATATACTCATTTATAAATTGACATTAGTATGATTAAGGGTTCTTCCGGCTTCTCCAAAACATGTACGATAGCAGATGTTGATTTTTTTTCGTGTTGAATTGACGATATTATTATTCTTTTTTCGTGTTGAAGGTGCGATACTAATTTTTTTTTTCGTGTTCAAGGTATGATATTATTTTTTTGTGTTGAAAGTACGATATTAATATTTTTTTGTGTTGAAGGTATGATATTAATTTTTTTTGGTGTTGAAGGTATGATATTATTTTTCGTGTTGAAGGTACAATCTTATTTTTTTTTCGTGTTGAAGGTACGATATTATTACTTTTTCGTGTTGAAGGTACGATATTATTACTTTTTCGTGTTGAAGGTATAGTTTTTCGTATTGAAGGTACGATATTAATTTTTTCGTGTTGAAGGTATGATATTAATTTTTTTTTCGTGTTGAAGGTACGATATTAATTTTTTTCTCGTGTTGAAGGTACGATATTAATTTTTTTTTCGTGTTGAAGGTACGATATTAATTTTATTTATCTTCATAATCATTGAAAATTCATTCGATGTGAAAAAAGATGGGTATTCTGTTGTTAAAAGCTTTTAGTGTTTTGATCACTGCAATTGCGATGTTGAAACCCGATTTTTAGCTGAGCCACTGGGGTTTCTTTTTAATTTTCCAATAATTGTACCTCTTTTGGAAGCTTTTGGATGATAGGAGTTGAAATGATGAAAAATAGGTTTCTGAACTGGTTTGTGAAACAAAGTATATTGCATGCCATTATCGTTACATGCCATGAAATTAAAGCCAAGAAAACATATACTCCTGGTATCAATCGAAAATTAGCCCACAATGACTCGCATGTAATTCTGAAGGCTTATAAAACTCAGACCAGGTTTTGGATACTTGTGATGGACATAGCACAGACAGCCCATTGTGTAGTTTTGTGGTTAATAATTAAATGAACAAATCGAATGATTAAGGGTGAGTTAGATGTTAGTGTTTATAGAAATCGGAAAGTCTGGAAAAATATGATTAAAGAATCAAGGCCATGGTTCCATAGTTTAAACACGTCATCAATGTATTTAAGACAGAGATTGGGGCAAGTGTTGGTACCTTGGCGCCACTTGTTAGGTGTCTTTGTGTCAGAATTGTGCAAATATTTGGACTTAAATAACAGCTACTCGATTATCCATTGCGACACCACTAAGTTGGATATATAGTTTATTTTCAAAACAAAGATACCCATTATGGAGGATAAAATGTAAGACTTATCTGACAGTCCATACATCTCCAAGTTGTTTATATGATTACATATTAATTTACATAATGCATTGATGCTATCTCTCATACAGATTGGAAAAGAGAGCTGCAACATTTAACGTAAAGATTATTGTTGTAATTGTCACTCAGTGAAATTCGTTCTTGATTCGAGATGAAAGTCCTTGTGTATTTTTCAATTGGGATGGGATGTGATTTTATATCGACACTTAGACTATGTATACACCAAGACAGACTTTCAATGACCCTGCTATATACTCTTTGTCTTAATGGCATATCCGTTAACGTTCTTTAGATAAACGGTTGAATTCTGAAACACTACTACTATTATAGGATATCATTTTATCTAAAAGTTTCTAGAATTTATTGTTCTTGGGGATCTAAGTTAAGCTTGGCCTAATTATTTCTGTCTTTGTAAAACGTTCCGTATCCTTCCTCACATCTGCAATTTTCGTTTCATTGTATTTATTGCCATGGGAAGGTTTTTATCTTGTTATAATCATAGACAATGTGCTCTTCTATACCAACTTCTGAGTAAGATACAATGTCAACAGATCTCTAGTCTTTGCATTATTTAGGAATGTACTGAAGTCCTTCATTCCCTTTTCGTAATCGACTTTGTAATTAGGCAATGCGGCGATATCTTTCAGTGCATAATTCCCTTGTGCTGAGCTTTAAATATAACTTCACACCAAAAATGTCAAACATATATATACTTGCATAGCCACGATTCTTACTGTCTACTACATGTGTAACATGGTGGCCAATTTTTTTTTTTCAGTTCTTGATAGTTTCTTCGAACACAGCCTGTTCGTTGGCAACTTTCATATATTTCTTGTTTGGAATCACCAAATCTGGTTGCTGAGTTGATTGGTCTCTGGCTAGACCATCTTCTCTCTCAACCTGAATTTCCAGTTTATGGACAAGCTGTTTTATTACAATAAGGATAGTCTGCCTTCATCTGTCATCACCTCCTTATAATCAATATCATGGAAAGATATTGTCTTTACCAACAAGCATGTCATCGTGATATGCAGGAAATCAAGTATTTTCTACCTTGTCATTTTAATGTAAAGTTTTTTTTAGAAATTTTCGTTTGTTCAGGTTCACATAAAACATGATCAAAATAATTGTTGATATCGTTCTAGCTACCTTTGTTCTTTGTCATTTTCATGGAGATAACACCTAGGTGGGTTTTGCTTTAAAGCTGCACCTTCTGCATGAAAATTGACAACAGTGTCCCCTAGAGGTCAGATGTTATTTCAATGTTACAACATCCCTTATATTTCAATGGTAATGGCCAATCACGTGCTAATGGCTCTACTGGATAGGGCAACTACCAGTGTTTTATAGTTGTTATAGCTCTCAGCTGGAAGGTTGCTTAATGATGTTAAAAGTTAGTCCTTTTAAATGAGCAGCAAGATGAACCCGATGACCACCAGCTACTAACTTTCTGAGTAGCCAATGCAAGTCTTGTTATATTTCATTCCAACAATAAAACTAGTGGATGAAACTGTATGAAACTTCATAAGAACTTTCATAAATGCATGTAGTTTAACTTAAGAAACATTAAGCCTGTTACTTTTGATAAATTTAGTGATTTTGCATTATGATCTTTAACATCTTGGAAAGCCCCCCAGTGGCGCAGTAGTATGTCTTCGGACTTACAACGCTAGAATCTGGGTTTCGATACCCGTGGTGGGCAGAGCACAGATAGCCCATTGTGTAGCTTTGTGCTTAACTTCAAACAAACAAACATCTTGGAAAATTACATTAGGAAATGGTATTTATAAGAAATGATTGTGATATTTATATTTGTTCCGGATTTGAACTTATTACTTTTTATGTTTCAGTACATTATTTTGAAATCCAAAAAAATTTGTATCGTCCATATAATGCAAATTTTATCTATTTCAAATTTTTTCAACAATCACGTACTCTCCTTATGATTTCAAGTGATATACAAGACCCGAAAATAATATTTGT